GATATATGTCGTATCTTGGATTTCATTGGACGAGGATAGTCCTTCTGTCTCGGCAGGAGAATCATGTCGAAGGATGGATTGGGAAAGAAACAGTGCACAAACTGTGTTATCTTTTGCGTTGCCGGTCTGATCGATACCGAGATCGTGGCTGGACCCAATTAGACATAGCATTCGGGGCTTCCTACTGTGCCTCGAGTCGTACGGATACTGTCACTGAAACTTGCCAAAGTCAGGAAATTACATGCAAGTTACTCCGTACACAGAAAGGCACAACATACCCCACATCCGACGATGGCTTCTTCGCATACTTAATGGGAGCAAGATCCCTTGGTGTAAAAAGGCGCAATGCCCAGTTCAAAGCCACCGTCGAACGGATATTTATCAAGAGAATCCCCAGCTTCTTGTAGTCCCTCATTTCACATTTGCTTTTACACTAAACCATACTTGGCCCCATCCTCCATCCGCAGCATCCTTCCTTCGTCGATTCGTTGAACGAACTGCCATCTAAGAACGAGGCATACTCACCAGGCCTTCGAGCATGTGTTCGGCGAAGACAAAGTCAGAACCCCTTGATAGCAGGCCACACAAGCGAGCTTAGTCAATCGGCTGAGTAAGGTCGACCACGAACGAACGAGGACAACACTTCCGAGGACGACACAAACCCAGACGAAGGTCGGTTGAATTCACCCGACCGTAGCTGATATTTTGCTGCCCCGAGCAAACCATCAAGGCAACCGGAACACTCTGTCAGGCTCTGTCGGATCACTGGTGCCTAAGCGAACAACATCACAAGGCATCACGATACGGGCCCTGAATAGGAGAGCGAAGCAAGAAAGTGAGGGGATTTTTATGCAACGGGCAGCACTCTGCATCGAGCCGAAGCATCTATCATCTCCACCGGCGTTGGAGCAAGTCATAATTGGGCCACGTAGGCCATCGGATGCGTCTGGTTGCGGGCGCTATCCGGGATGCCAACGGCATGAAGCAACTCGCAGATATGACAACACAAGACCTCACTGCCAAGGGCCACAGTCGAGGGGCTTGAGACCACATCCTACCCACCCTTTCATTGCAGTCTCTTCTTTTGTTTCTCCTTGCTGCCCGATCAAAGTTGATCGGAGGCCGCGGATATGCTCGTTCATAGCCAGCTGCGCTGCCGCAACAATATGCTGCCCCAGCCTGCCGCATCACTGAGGCCAGTTATCTTCCAGTCCGCTAGAAGGAAATTGACTGAACCGGAAGGAGGTTTCTCGCTTTCATTCTGGATGGGGGGGGCGTGGTTGAAGTCAACCCTCCATGTTGTCTCGGCTCCGGGCTGTATGACCGCTCCTCCACGCGCAGTCAAGATACGCTATGTCTGTGTCAAAACGATGTCCACTGACCGGGACATAGCTTGGACAGTGACCTTCTCTTTTTGTACGAATGCCTGCTCAGGGTATCCATCTTCAAGAACTGGAACACTGGCAGGCAGGCTATCCTTCAGCGCTGCCCTTCAGTGCCCCCAGATGGCTGCCGGCTACCTTACATACCACTCAGCTTCCAACATCAAAGAATAACCCCGGTGGCAACTCATGGTGCAGACTAACCTCAACTGAATCATCTTCGATTCTTCAGATATTTCCGCGCTCGAGGCTGGATGTTTGTACTATGGGCTAATAGTTGATATCACAGCACCGAGCAGGCTACGCTCTGAAGCTAGCCCTAGGCTTCATCAGGTCGATTATGTTTTGAGCTCTCACTTTACACACCACGCTAGTGACCATCATGACCATGCACGCATGCATGATGTTCCCCGGACGGGGCGTGGAGCTGGGACGCGTTCATCATCCACCGTTGCGAAACGACTCCGGCTCTTGATTAGACACAACCCCTCGACTAGTCTCCTTAGGCGGCCGAACCCCGCTACGCCCGAGTTCGAAGGCATCTGCCCCGCAAATGTAGTCTGGCACGCATGAGGGATTGCACCTTTTTGAGGGGTTGTCGATTCATCTGGCTTTTGTCTGGAGCTCGCGCAGCATTTGGTCGTCTTAACGAGACGGGAATCGGGATGTGACCAGGACCACTGCGTTTCCTGACCGTTGGTTTCCCATTCGTCGTTGATCGGAGATTCAGATCAGTATTTAATGAGGGAAACTTTTGGGGGCCTAAGAAAGCTCTTCTTGCAATGTTTGCGAAGCAAGGACTACGCTCTCGGTGTTCAGCGACTCAGTCAGCTTCTAGCAGACATAATTTACCAATATTGCAACTGCCATAAAGCGAGTATCAGCTTGTGATCAAGATGGATCCGAACGCCGGGAAATCAGTCTGCCACAGGTAAAGCTGTCAATTCTCATGCTTGTCGTGTTTTAAGCTTTTTGCATCGCTTGTGATATCTAAACATACGTTTTACTGATCGGCTCACTGCAGCGGTTCCGAGCGCAAATCGGCACACACGCATTCAACAGCAGCGTCGCAGAGAAGCCTCCCTAGCCAACAGCTGAATGCGTATCAGAATCAGACGCCTTCTGAAGATAGCAATATCTATCGCGTCGCATACCAGAACACCGATATGAGCGCCAGCGCCGCGCAACATAGGGGCAGGATTGCTGTGGATTTGGCCAAGTTTACTGGTCGATTTGAAGGCAGCTCTTCCTAACAGACGCTGTGGATTCATTGTTTCCAGAGACGGGACGAAAAGCTCGCGATACTAGTATCCTGAGGTCGGCTACCGGTATCTATATGGGGAATAATTGCAGTACATAGCATCATTGGTCCAGATGTGAAGGAGATCGAAGGTTCAGCGTCGCGTCGCATTCCGATCAGTCGTATATTGGGGCATATGTAAACAAGGCGTTCATCAGGGCGTGGAAAAGGTGTAGGGGACGGACAGTAGCTTTAGGTGCTAGACTACAGGTTTAGACCACCACAAGGTGAGTGGTTGGTAGATGAGTAGCGACTCTCCAACCCCGGGAGCTCTAACTTTGACTTCTGCATTCTCATCGCCTTACGTTTGTTTGGCTACGCTGTAACTTGCTAGTTTGAAAAGGCGGATAGATTCACGTTAAGATTGTCTACTCCAGCTACCTTACGCGCTGATGAAAGAATAAATGCCTAAGCGCCCATGTGTTTTCCCTGAAAGGTGATGTCAGATGTAGAGCTCGAGACGCTTAGAAGGGTGAACCCAAGGACACGCGCGTATCAAGGGGAAAGCTTCAGGAGGGAACACTGCAGGCTTAGGTTGCTCTTGATTGTTGTGCCTAGAATCCCTTGGGAACCTTAGCATAAGGCACCTCAGGTGCCTTCAGTGTCTGATCTTATGTAAGCTTGGGGGCAACCGGACCTGAAGAACACAGTGAGGTGCCTACCGTCTTACTGCAGTTGGCGAGGCCGGCGCGGGCAATCCACTTTCGGCACTTGAGTGGGGCCGGTATTATTATGGGGCGTCGGCCACCACCGGGCTTCTACCTACAAGCACTTTGATCAACATGACATTTTCAAGACCTTACTCGACCAAAGAAGACAATGGCTTGTTTTTTTCGATCTTCTATAATCTCATAAACACCCCGCTCATGACAGTCAGATGTATATCTTCCCTTCGAGTACCTGTTTATCCATGCCCTTTCAGGCAAAACGTGGCCCCCAAAGATCTCGGCATGGTTATCGGGGAGCCGGACTGCTGCTCGGTCGTACTTTCCAAGGTACCTTGCTTCGACTTACCTTGCCTTGCCTTATATCAAGCTATACCGTGCCAGCGAATTTACCAGGTGCAATCAATGGGGTAAATGCAGCCAGCCACATTGTCATGCAGAGTTGCAGAGGTAACGGGAGAGAGAGGTGCTCAAACCTCAGTGCTCGCGGGCCAGGGTATCACTCGCTGACTGATTGGTTGGTGTGCGACAAGTGTATAGGGCTGAGGGGACGCTTCGTGCCTTCATTGGACGGTTTTGAAAGGGAAAGCCCTGCTGCCTGGAGGATTCCCGTACTTGAGCCAATAGAAATGGCCGTTGTGGCGGAGCACATCACACCAGGGATACCTGCGCGCCGCCGTAGCCAACCGGATGTGAACTCTCGCGCTGATGAGACGTAAAGTCCTGATGCCATCTTCATTTAAGTCCTCGAGAATCCCATCCCACGTCTACGGAATCTTGCTCTAGGACTTCTTTCCCGGCAACCTGGATTCTCTCGTCTTTGGCATCACTCCATGCTTTTGGGTCAGCCCTACATATACGTCTGCCCATTCCCGTCCCCCTCCCTCTCGATTTGCGCTCTGAATGAACTCTTTCGGCCCCCAATTCCAATTCGCCATATCGACCATATTCTACCGAACGCCATACTTTGGACAAGACCTACAAACAGATTTCCTGCCGATTCTGATCAAACTGGTCTTCGAACAGTTTTACGACTTTCACCACAATCTTCTCGCTTCGTCAAGCTCGATATTTCCGGTTCAGCAAGACCACCTGAGAGCATCCGGCAACACATGGCCAGGCAGCCACCGAAATCGCGAGGCGACCAATGTTTTGGGCGACCCATCGGCGGACAACTTTCTTCGAACGAGGCAATTCGGACGCCTTTCTCAGATTGCGAACCATGGATGCCTTGAACAAGGCACCGTGAGGCAGCAAACGAGGCGGCTGGCGACCAGCTGCAAGCCCCGCGCGGAGGCCTCTTGCCTGCGTCACGTTGCATCATCTGGAACCTGGAAGCGCCCCCCTTTTCTCAACACATCTTTCTCATCACCACCTCATCGACGATTGGATCTCATTCACTCTCGGCAAGGCAGATTTATGCGCCACATCAACGAGAGTCGGCTCATCGCATTGGATAGCGCTTACATCCAATCTGCGCTGCCCGTGGAGCTTTTTCCACTTCTATTTGCATGAGCTCACCTCAGGAGCCTCCCCTCCCAATCCCTCTCAAGTCACACAGTCCCAACGCCCGCTTGCCAAAGTTGGCAGGTCTTCGTTCACATCACAGCCAATAACCGTAATCAGTGATTAATCTCGAATAGGAAGCATCTTTCATCCCGCATACCTGCGACTTACAGGCTCATGCACGGGACTTTCGGTCGTCCAGTGGGACGCCTGAGAGATCGAAGAGCTTGAAGTCAAGTCCAGCACACTCGATGGCCTTTCGTTTTGCGCATCAGTCTCCTATCTGGCTGATTTAGCCGGACGAACGGATTTCGTCATTGCAAGTTACGATCAACTTGGTCTGGACCGGCCTTGGGAATGCGCCAGCTTCGTTGCAGACAACTTACAATGCGAAAGATCTTCAAAGGTGTCCACGCGGCTTGGGCGACCAATGTTGATGGTTCTTTCAAGCGAAAGAGACACCTCATGTCAGTTACTTGACATTACCAAACCTCTTGGAAAGCATTCAGTGCTCACGCTCATCGCACCAGAGGGCTTGAGCATCCGTGCTTGAGGTTGAGGATGCTATCAAAACCACTGCTATCTACTTACTTCACAGACAGCACGATGTATGAGCTGCAACTCATCGGAACCACAACGACTCAATTCCGACTTCACTGTCTTTTCAGGAACACCGGCACACTGCTTGAGAACATTCAACCTGTGGGGCCCATTATGTGCTTGGGGTGGGGGCGGAACAGACTGGGACGCCTTACCAGGCTGAAAAGGACTAACAGGAACAAGACAACGATTGGACCACAGGATTGAATCCTTCGGCAACCTCGCCCCCCTGCCGGAGACCTGCTCCCTCGATTCGAATGGCACGCCGTCCCTCAACGTTACTGCCCATACTGCGGCATTGTAATTGAGCCGACTCCATCGACTTTGGTGTCGGGTAGCCGTTTGAGCCTTCTATTCGTTGAACGGCCGCATTCCACCTGACGCAACACATTGCAAAGACACTCGCTGTTCCCCTAGGCCAAGCTCAGCCATGCAAGGGTCGGAAGTGTATTATGTCTCCTTCAAACCTCGAATTTGGAAAGCAATGGTTCGCGCGCTCTGCACGCTGGCCGTATTTAAACCTGCCAAGTTGGATCCTGAGGAACCCGCACACTTCACACACCAACGGTCAGATTCGGAACCTCACGAACAGCTAGCTACCTGATTCTTTGAAGATCAGTCATTCACGATTTACGCCCACAACTTTGCGCACACTGCCCATCCTTCCCACAGGCAAACATGGCGCATTCTGGACAGTCAGCTTACAGCGGGTACATGATCCGGCCCCGGGCGATGGGTGTGATGGGAGAAGATGCGCGTCAGGCTGATGTACTAATCCAACGGGTTCTAGCCATTCCTCCTCGAAGGGATCACACAAGCACTCGTCAAAGGAATCCAAGAAAGAGCTCGCCCAACGACGAACTTCGATGTACCAGAACCAACCAGCGTCCGACGAACCTACCGCGTATGGCGCCGCATTCCGAAGCGAGGACGTTGCGGCCAGTGAGGCGCGCCACCAGGCTAGAGCCGCGGAGAATATCGCAAGAATTATGAGCCAGTACGGCGGAAAGTAAGACGATTGACCTCGTCGGGCATATGGGAAACGCAAGGCGGAACGGAAAACGTGTGTGACTGGCAGAGGGTGGATGTGGTACCGCAGGGTCAGAGTCCATTCTTCGTCGCGTTGGCGTTGACCGCCCGTGGCTACAGAAAAGACGCCGAAATGACGGAGAACTAATCGCGGGCGGATAATAGTCGAGAGGCGTTCATGGGAAGGGAAAGATACCATAGATTCCATAGTCGGACGACTTTGGTTTGCTTCTGTAATTGAGTATTCGTTTATTCTTCCAATTCTGCTACAGCTACCGCATGTGACTATCCCCGCCAGCCGTCTACGTGTTCCATATCAAAGTACTCGTGGCGTCTTTCTACCGATGTTAGCCTGCTAGTACTCATAATCGCTAGCTTACTGGCATGGACGACAAAAACCATCACCAGGCCCATCCAAGTAGCACTGGATCGCAGCTCATCTCAGGATCCCCTGCCAAGGAAGAACTGCCGCTCCAAGTGCATGGGAAAGAGCAGGCTCTGCCGGCATTCAACGGGGGGAAGGAGAGTGCCTGGAGGTGTCGGTGCCATGGAAGCTGGAAAAAAATGCATTTTCCATCTTGTTCCTGCCTGGAGCTGCGTTAGCGCTTGCTGTTTGTGGTGTTCCTGCTGACGATGGCCGATCGCCCTCTATCTGGCAGGAACGAGGCAGGCACATGTCAAGCTTGGAAGCAGGCACGACGACGCGTGACTTCCTGCCTTGCCTGGCCTTTCCCGGATCACAAGCTCCGTCCTCCGCTGCCCCTCCAATCCCATCTCCGTTGACGACACCTCTGTTCAAACTGCACATTGCATCAATTGTCATTGCCCATCTCTTGTAGACAATTGGTCTTGTTCGTTCCAGCATCAACATCACATGTTCGCAGAAGAATCACCAGAGTATACCCGAGGTAATGGCCACTTCAATTGGCTGGACAGTACACGATCAACGGAAGACCCTTATTCGAGATCATCTACATCCTGAACCTAGCGGCTAGCCAGAGACCCACGGGCCCTTCCTTTTCGTATTCATGCGATGCAGTACCCATCAAACTGCCACGGCCTTCAAGAACGCCCTGCTCTCGTTGCCCTGAGTCACCTTGGCGACAGGTGTGAGATGAGCCTCATCGGCCTCAGAGCCCCCCTGCAATTGGCGAACATACGCCTGGGCAACTCTGAGCCAGTTGACCTTCTCTCCCCGGCTTGCACCCTGTCCTTCCCACACCCAAACGGCTCGGCCCGCGTCATCCAAGAGGAACACGTCTTGCTCTTCAAAGTCCGAGAGAGCAGCCTTGCTGCCATCCTTGACGAGGTCGAATCTGAGCTCCCCGAAAGCATCGCTGAGGCGAAAAAGCTTCTGAGGTCGCTCGCCGGCGTGTGCCTTGGATGCTGATCGAACTGGTCTGGGGCAGTGGAAGCCAGACTGAGGCGTATCATCGTCACCTCCGAGAAGGGTGACGATAACGCGAGATCTCGATTCTTCTTGGGCCAGAACCTCGACGTCGATGTGCTTCGCCAGCGTCATGTCGTTGACAACCTGAGCAGCCTTGGCCTTCTCCATCGGGCTGCAGCTCTTGCCCTGCCACTGCCAAATCTTGTCGCCTGTGTCGAGCACGAACACGTCGTCCTCGTCCAAGCTTTTCCACGTTGGCTCGACTTCGTGTACAACAACGCCGTTGGCACCGACTGACGGGTTCTTGAAGATGCGCAACAGAGTGAGAATCTCCTCCTTGGGCTCCTCGTCTTCGACATGACGGAAGCCAGATCTTACCCCTCCAGAGCGAATTTGGATGCGAGGGAAGAGCTCTAGGAACTCATCAGACGGCGCCGACTGTAGCTCACGATGCTGCGTCGCGGCCCCGTGCAGGAACTCATCGAGCTCGACCGTCTTATACGCAGCGGTACCGGCCTCGTCCTGCGATGTGTGGGCACCGAGCCAGAAGAAGATGTCATGCCCAAGCTTCTCGGCGTCATCTTTGCTCCCAACCTTGTACGAGTTGAGGACGATGTAGCTGTCGCCATCCATAAACTGACCATACTTCTCCTTAGGCCATGGCTTGACCTCGAACTCCTCGATACGCCAGACATGAAGCCCAGCGGCTTGGCCAACTTCGCCTTCATTCCAAGCTGGCTCGGTAGCAGCAGAGTTGTACTTCACTTGGTGGTCAATGTCCGTGCCAATGAGCTCGACATTGCTGTCCTTGATGTCGTACTCAGTCGGATGCACAAGGCCTTGATTCGGCGCCATGATTGATTCAAATTTGCTCGAAATGTCCGAAGAGATTGGTTTAGTCGTTTTCACAATTGATACGCTTGCCAAAGTCGGAAGAAGAATCGAGATTGAAGAGGATGGGGGAGAACCAGGAACAGCGTTTCAACGAACGTCATGGCACACACGGACGCTGTCTGTGGCTCAGCCAGTCACAGTGGATCGAAGCTCCTCAGCTTGTGCGGGGATCAGCAGTTTCAATTGGGTCGATCTGCCAGCTTTCCTTGCGGCTGTATCGCGAAGCCACACGAGATCCATCAATGAAGAAGTACTACAACGCCCCACGAACGCCTCAACCAGGTTCCTCAAAGCCTCCAGCGCCGGCCCAGCTTCCATGATATTTGCTGTCTAAAAGTGGAAACAATATTTCGATATGTCAAGGGAATAAAACAGGGAAAAGCAACCCGCAGCGTCGACCTCAGCCCCAGCCTCAGTTAAAGGGAGTGCTGAAGCCCAGCCAATCCGACTCTGGATCTGGTACCCCGGTCGTCCTCATGGAATCGCCGCCTAACCCGCTCATCACTTGTGGCTGTAGTAAATTCGTCTGACCATTGGTCGCCCGTGAGCTCGGCTCAGACATCTTGGGATAATTAAAAAAGTCGAAAACGTCAATGTTGTCAAGTTCGCTCAACGAAGTCACTTGAGTCGATGTCGGCTCCATGCCAGAGCGTCGTGTGGAGGATGTCAAGGTTACCAGATCGTGGGCACTCCTGAGGCATTGCTGTTAGTACGGTCCGGGGGCGGTAAGACATCATATGGGATTACTCACTTCCTCATCGCGGTAAAGCTCATGTCGCCCTGTCGCCCTCGCTGTACCACCCGAGCAAGAATTTTGGCGTAATTGTTTGCGACCTCCCAGTACTGTCCAACATGGCGAAGCGTTTCGATGAAAAAGTCAATCTTGGGATCAACGGGACACCCAACAGTCGCAGCGTGAATAAGCAGCAACCTAGCGGCTACCCATAACGAAAAGGCGAATGGCGGCCCCAAGAGATCCAGGCCGTTGGCCTCAAAGACGTCCTGCGCAATATCGCCGAGACTTTGCACGGCAGACAAGCACCTCTGCATGGCATAGTGCGATGGGACGAAGATGTGAGATCTCACAGTGGGGTACGCAGCCGAGGAATGCAGACGCACCACAGACGTGACATATGCGCTATGCAGCATGAACCAGTTGGCGACGCGGCTCGCGGGATCTGAGTGGCACAGAGCCGAAATTCTGCTGTACTCGCTGGGCAAGCTCTGCAACCAGCTGTCGAGCGCACCGTCCAGCGATCTATATGTGTTCCGCCAAACCGCCATTTCCGACGACGATGTTACGTCGATGGGTGTTTTGAGAAAGTCGTGGACCTTGCTCAGTATACGCAGGATCTCGCAGTGGTACGAGAAACTGCCGAGGTTTTCGGGTTTATTGATGGTCGGGCTGCCGGTTTGGTCGGATGACGGACTCCATGACTTCGTCTCAACGGGAACGTTTCTCGAAAAGAGGTCGTATGAACACGGCAAACCGCGCTTCATCTTTTTGTCGTCGAGCATGAAGTCGAACGTCGTTGTCGCTATCGTCGCGTATCGATCAAGGAGATAAACCATCCAGCAAAGCCGTCGACGGCCCTCATCTTCAATCCAAGATTCTGGTCGGCCCATCGCCACCCGACGGATCGAGCCCGTGTGCGGCGTCTCCTCTGCCTCGGCCGTGAGATACACGCTGCTCTCTTCACAGAGTTCCAGTTGTCTCACATTCTGCGAGAGCAACGCGAGCATGTTCCAACCGCGCGGCCCATTTGAGGTTCCCAACTCGTCCAGGCAGAGTATCACCAAAGCCCTCAACGCGGCAATGCTCACGTTCTCCATCGCATATATCTGCACCCTATGTTTCGACACTGCATGGTAGTGTGACCGCATGTCGGGCGACAGCCGCGGGTCTTTCATGAACCTTAGTGTCGTTGCTACTATAGCATGTAACAAAACACGATCGGCTTCGTTGAGGGACGTCGAACCAAAAAAGGCACCGAAGGTCGTTTTGCGGTCCAAGATCGGACACCACGTGTTGCAGTGTTTGAAGTATAGGTCGACAAGCGTGTACAGCATGTCGTGAGGCGGGAACTCAGAGACAGTCGGGACTGAGTGTGCATCTTTTCGAGGCCCGTTGACGCTCGGCGATGCGCCTGCTTGGCTGAAAGACTCGCCTGCGGATAGGTTCAAGAGAGCCTGAACTGAAGTCCGGTCACCATTCTGTAACGTCTCTTGGGCGTCACCGCCCTGCCAGAAAGGGCTCGAGAAGGCTGGTGTTCTCCCATTCGTGGTTGGTGGCCCTCTTGGAAGGCCCGGAGCCGGACTGACGCCATTCGCATTTCCATCAGGACGGAATCCCTCGATTTGTGATGGCGCCTGATTGCTGATGGATGGCGAATGAGCCTGTGATGTGGCGACGTGATCATGGGCGATGTGATCTTCTACACGACGACCAAGAGCCTGCAAGAGAGCATCGAGCCTGTTAACCTTGGCTTCAAGTTCGAGACTGAAACCGATACGGCTACCCGGCTTCTGTCTTTCTAGATAGACGCATGTTCGGTTGTGACGGGCACACCAAGAACATGCGGGCTCTGCACGATCGCACTTGACCTTCCTCGCCTTGCATAGTTCGCATCTGGATTCGCGTCAGTCGATGGCCATGCATCTCATTTGGGGGGCCACACAATCAGAAGCGCACAACATACGATGTCTTTTGGTGCTTCTCCCTCTTACGCTTCCTCGGTGCACCGGCCGAGCCATTGTTTGTCGTGTCTTCACCACTTGAGCCCTCGTCGTGGCTGAACACCGAGTTCGCTTCCTCCTCGGCCATTTGTTGCGGACGTGCATTCGTGTCTAGCATATCTGTCCCATGGTCGTGGGAACTCCACATTTCCCGTTTTTACTTTGATGGGCTGCGAAGGTGTTGCTCTTATCAGGACCCTTTTTGGATGGAGCCGTGAGGAGCCTGGCCGAATTTGATGTCAGGAAGTGGTCATTTCACTCATGAGCGGGCGTGCAGCAAGCAGTAAAAGGCAGGCTAGCGAATTGCCTCAGCCGGCCGGGATGCTGGAGGGAGTGAAGGATTGCACCGCAGCACCTTGGGGCGCATGGGGCATATCCGGCCTTGTCCGCGTTGGTTGGCCGGGTCGATGGGCGAAACGTGGGCAGCCGAATCCAGGAGAGAGTCTCTGTACCGTCTGTGTGTGTGCCGAATAGTGCTGGTGTCAGCTCTGCAGGCGCTGCAGTGTCAGTCAGTCCACCCAGTTTGTGTTGTGCTCGAACCCGCAGAGTGCAGTCTGCAAGTCGAAGGAACAAGTGGAGAGAGATGGAAGACAAGCACCGAGTCTTCAGCGAGAGGCAAAAAGGACTGACTAGTCGACTAGGTGGAAAAGACTCGGGAAGCCAAGGCCGCGATGAGGGACTTTGTCAGCAAGCGCTCGAGTGTCTGAGTCTGACCAAGTGTGAGAGGGGGACGGGGTCCTTCGGTGTTCTCTCCCGACAAGCCATTTGAAGAGATGGCTGGCACGGAGGGCAGAAAAAAAAAGAGAGATCCAGTCGTCGGCCCACTCTCGTCCACAATAAGAGTTGGATCTCTTGCGCAACTCTGTCACTGTCCCTTACTTTACGCGGTCTGACCGTCCTGTCTGTCTGCGCTGCCAACTAATACCGTGACAGAAAGAGTGTACATATTACATACAAAGACTGCGGAAGACGGCGGAACCGTGTACAGTACCAGAAATGAAGACTCCTCCGTGCCGCCAATGCGCACCAACCAACCAACCACTTGCGCCCGGCATCCTCGTTTTCCCGGAAACTCGTTACACACAGCATCCGCCCGTGGCATGGGATGGACGGAACGGATGAGGGGAGATCGTTGCGCCCAATGATGAACCCTTGGGGGCGATTACGATAACCAGAGCCATCTCCGAAGCCACCAGGCATGACACTGGCACGCTGGTCACTACGACGGAACAACGGTGCTAATACAGACTACCGCAAGACATGCAGGAACCGCGCCGCCTCTGTTAGACAGTTCCCCTCAATTTTCTTCTCCAAGTTTGCTGCCGAAAACCCCCCTTCCATACGGCAAACAGCGCCGCACCCCGGCCACTCCGAACTCTCTCTCCCCCGCTCCTTATGGTTCCCCTGTCAAGCCTGCTACCGCGAGGATCATCCATGGGGCGATGCAACCGTCAAAGGTGGGGGTAAACGGCAGTGGCTTCGACGATGTCTTCTTCCACAGGCCCCAGAAGCAGTAGTCACCGGGTGGCTGACAGGTAGGCTACAAGCCTACAACTAACAACGCCCATCACAAGAGGAGGGTCTTTTTTGCCAATACCCCCCCCCCCCCGGAACAAGGCCGCGCAGCAGGCTGAGGATCGCGATGAAGTCACTGCATTCCGCTCCTGCCTGCTTCACGACTCAGTTTGAACGGGGTCATGGACGACGATTTACACTCCGATCATCCGGATTTACCAGGAACATGCGCACGTGGGGACGGGTCGAGACAGCAATGCAACCGCGGCTTTCCCTGGAGCCGTCGACTTGGCGCACTTACAAAGACTTGCATCGGTGAACAGGGCAAACGAACCAGCTTCTGGCGCACAAAATCGAGTTTCCGACAGAGGCAAAATGCGTCATAATGCCGTGCTACCTATGATACAGATTGGATTTTTCTCTCCAAGCGGCGCCGGATCGCATGTGCGTGCGCCCATTGTGAATGGACCTCCCAAACAACAGACTGTGGTATATCGAAACGAAAAAAAAGAAGACATTATCACGTGAAGAACTCCCAAGCAAAACCCGCTCAGCTCGACCAGCCCTTGCTCATCTGGACAGCCTTCTCCCAGCGGCCGAAGCGCTCAGAGGCATCCTCTTCGGAGATCTGGGGCTTGAAGATGGTGCGGCCCTCGAGGTTGACGTCCTTCAATTCGTCAAAGCTCTTCCAGACGCCTGCAGCGAAGCCTGCCGCGATGGCCGCGCCGAGGGCAGTGGTCTCGCGCATGCCTGGGCGGTTGACAGGGATGCCAATGATGTCGGACTGGGTCTATTACGGAGTACATGGGTCAGCTTGATTTCTCCGCCCGAGGCTCGGAAAAGGTCCGGGGGTTCTATTCTTACCTGCATGACGAGATCGGAGTTGCACATGCCACCGTCAACGGCGAGCTCAGTCAGGGCTGCACCGCTGTCCTTCTCCATGGAGTCCAAAATGGCTTTGGTCTGGAAGCAGGTGGCCTCAAGGGTGGCGCGGGCGATGTGGCCACGCTGCGTGTAGGCGGTGATACCGAAGATGGTACCACGGGCATCATCGATCCAGTAAGGCGCAAAAAGTCCACTGAAGGCAGTGACGAAGGTGCAACCACCGTTGTCCTCAACCGTCTCGGCGAGTGCGCTGAGCTTGGAGGAAGACTCCATGAAGCCAAAGTTGTCGACCAGGAACTTGACACTGGATCCAGCAACAGCAATGGAACCCTCGAGAGCGTACATGGTCTTGCCAGGGCCGAAGTCGAAAGCGACAGTGGTCAAGAGACCGTGGGATGAAATGACGGGCTTGGGCCCGATATTGTAGAGCAAGAAGCAACCCGTGCCATACGTGTTCTTTGCGAGACCAGCCGTGAAGCCCTTCTGACCGACCAGAGCAGCGGACTGATCACCCAAGCAACCGGTGATCTTGGTACCGCTAAGAACGGTGTTGTGGAGCGTACCATACGCCTCGGGGTCAGAAGAACGGACAATCTTTGCCAGCTTGACCTTCTTGGGGTCGATTCTGAACCAATCAATGAGGTCCTCATCATATTTCAGAGTGTGAATGTTCATGAACATGGTACGGGAGGCGTTGGAGGGATCCGAGACGTAAACGTCGCGGGCAGTACCGCCGTTCAGCTTGTAGACCAACCAGGTGTCAATGGTACCAAAGGCCAGAACACCACGCTCGTAAGCATCCTTGACCTCAGGGCTGTTCTCCAGAAGCCAAAGGAGCTTGCCGACGGAGGGATATGTGGAGAGGGGAAGACCGCATCGCTGGGTAAGCTCGCTTGCGCCGAGACGCTGCTTCAGACGGCGAACGAGATCCTTGGTGCGGGTGTCGGTCCAGACGATGGCATTGTACAGAGCCTTGCCGGTGGTCGTATCCCAAAGGACGGTGGTCTCTCTCTGGTTGGTGATGCCGACAGCCTTGATCTGCTCGCGGGAGTGGCCCTGAGTCTCGAAAGCCTGGACGGCGCCGTCAATGCACGTCTCGACGGAAGCAACGAGCTCCTCGGGGTCATGCTCGTGCCAGCTGTCGCAATGGGATTAATTTCTCACTCTGCGTAATACTTTTCATGCGCCAGTAGTGGTCACATAGGAAGAACGACTTACCCTGGGTTAGGGTAGATCTGCTTGAACTCGAGCTGGTGAGTAGCAACGACCTCACCGTGGGGGTTGAAGATGAGGAAGCGGGTGCTCGTGGTGCCCTGGTCAATGGCACCAACAAAGGAGATCTTGGAGCCAGCACCCCCGTTTACGGAAGTGGGAGACATTTTGTCTGAAGTTTGTTTAAATCGACTGGGGAGAAGAGACGATAGCATTCAAAGACGGCAACGGCGTGGCGCGGCAGCGGCAGAGAAGAGAAAGGGACGGACGATTTTGGGTATCTTGCTGGACGGGATGAGGAGAAGGGAGTGAGAGAGACACACGACAAAAGCCTAAAGTTTCACGGGCTGACAAAAATATTTGTAGGTGCCGCGCAGGTGGGAAACTCTCAGCTCTTCAGCAGCCAGCAGCAAGCAGCCAGCTCCAGTTCTCGGAAACGCAACGCAAAAGGGCACGCGGCGTGTCGGGTTAGCTCCCTCCATGGGGAACAAACAGCTTTCTTCGAGAGCTACCCCTCATTTCCATGCATCTCTCTTACCCCATCCCCAGATCGTGTGGAGATGTCACGAGATGAGCACCAAGGAGCTGGGCTTGGGTCAAGAGAAAAAAAAAACCGCTGGACTGTCAAAGGGGGGGTCCCCGGATCCAAGACCAATCCCCACTGGGGAAATGCGAACGGATCGAACGGGGTTGCGTTGAGAGCGTTCTAAAGAATCTGACAGGCCGGCGAATCCTTCCACGCGAGAAGCCGGAACGAGAGATGCAAGCAACCGGTCGGTCTGTCAGTCTATCTGTCTGCGTACCACTGCTTCGGTATCGAACGACGCTATACGTATTGATACCATGGGCGTGTAGGTACTTGTTGGTCTACACGGGTATCCATAGTAGACTGGCTACCACCTTGACAGCTGACTGACATACTAGCCATTTAGGTTGTTTGGTACGGAGTAGGTTGTTGGTAACTTGATAGGTATGCGTACGGACTCGGGAGTAAGCATGCGAGAAATTTGGGGAAGCAATGATTCGGGGTGGATGCCCCGAGTTACTTCGGTCATTGTTCGACATTGGCAAGCAACGTCGGCCGTGAGCAGCGAGCAAAAGTGGAGGAGGACGGGGGCCGGATCACCTCGTGATGGGGCTGATGTCATTCCAGGTCGCACTGCAACAGCAGCAGTTTCGGTCTGCGTCGGCGAGCTCCCACGGAGGCATCGGTGGGTCCGGCCGTATGCCGGGCTTTTATCTCTTTATGAAGCACCGGTGGCCCGAGGCTCGCCCCAGAAAGCGGGGTCGACTACGAGCAAAGACGGCAAGCTACCTTGAGTCGTCGAGTTTCTCTACGAACTAGACCAAGCACCTTGGCAGGCATGCAGGTCACTGGTCGAGCAGAAAAGTAGATGGGCTGGTGGCCTTGCCTACATGGGCTAGAGCTGGGACGGGAGGAGGATGCAGCGGCCACCTCCGCGCCCGCGTGCGGTGCCTGCGCCTCTGGTTTGCTGGCTGGGTCTTTTTTCTCCTTTGGCGTTTACTACTGGTTCTTCTGCTAGTTGCTTCTGATGCTATTTTGCGCACACGAACAGGTGACACATTTTCAGCATGGAAAAGGCAAAGACGCCGGGCCGGGGGGATCTTTGCGACCCCATTCCAACGAAGGCACCAGGGCATGTCCATGTTCGTTGTCTTAAAGGGCCATATTCAGCGGCAAATGGGATTCGGCGCCGCGGGCGACCGACCAACCACAGGCGACAATTGCGACAAGATTCCAACGCCAACGCTAGAAGCAGTGGCCGAACGAACGAACGAACCAACAGACTAATCTGCCAGTCATTCCGATCAAGAGTCTGGACTCTTGCGGATACGTGGTCCAAAGAGTCAAGAGAGTCTTCTCTTTCTGGGCCATGCCGAATGGCTAGGTATTGCCTATCCAGCAATGGCAGAAACCTCTTCCCCCATGGGCCATGAACCCATAGGCAATTGCTCCAAACCATTTGCCGGCCTGCATGCGTTTCGAAAAGAACACCATTGACACCCCCTGCCCGACCATCGCGCTCATCGTCTTGTCAGAAACGGGACAAGACCGACAAACCATTGTTCACATCGCTGACCTGGTTCCCCTCCACTACGTTGCACCCGCCCTCCCACCTTTCATCTCATTTGTCCAATTTCGAGTAACCAACTGCGGGGAAAGAGGCGAAAGTCCCGTTACGAAGCAGACCAAGAACAACGCCGGGCCCGGCTTGCTTGGGATCAGCTAGAGCTTTTGGACGGAATTGGTTTGCCTGGAGGCTGGAGGGATGGCAGAGATGGGACCAACAGAAAGACATCTGCGGCCTGCCAGTGCTACCGAGGAGAGAAGAAGGCTCATGGTGGCCTCGGCTCGCCGTGTAGAGTTTTTCTCTCTTGCTTGTCGCCTTTTCCCCATTTGGTTGTGGACGGCTAACGTCATTGGAAGAAACGCTTGAACCTTGGCCGGCGATGAACGAGAGATAATGAGAGACAGGGGAGAAAAAAAAATGAGCCGCAAATGGGTTTCAACGGGAAGTAGTCCGTCTCTTCTCTGCCTTCGGTCGACACCACGGAACGCCGCGCGCACCATCACACGCCAATGATGATAGGCGTACCCTTCGTGTATGACGTTTTTGCCGCGGCTGGTTACATAGTTTTGGTGTGGTGTGGCTCGCCCGCGCTCGTCACTGTCAGATTTGGTCCGTGGACGATGGAGCGGCTCCACCACCTCTCAATGGACCCTTGGCGTCCATCGCCCGAGCCCCAGATGGCTTCAGGGATGCATCATGGAAGAGGCAATCTTCCGATCTGATCAGTCAGAGTTCAAACTCGGCTTTAATCAATCGGCAAACCAGGGAGCAAGGACGACAAGCTGTGGCACTGGCAGGTCATGAGACTTTCAGTACATTCTTCCTTTGCAAGGTAGTCAGTCGTACCGTAGCA